TTTAAAGTCCGCCAACGATTAGTAATCATAAAAAATACTAATTGACCTCACGTTGGAACCAACCTCATGTTGGTCCCCCACATTTATTAATAACAATAGAAATTTCTGTTTTAAAAATAGTAACAACATGGGGAAAATGCAGGTTTGAATAATATATTTTATGCACAGATATTATAGTATGTAAGTTATATAAAAAAAAAAATGTGGTGGCTGATGCTGAAAATGGATTATGCTGAAATTTTGCCGTATTTTATTATGAAAATTATAAAATTTTTTAGGGCCTTTTTTGTGGTCTTTTTTTTTTATAGTTAGGTTAGGGTCTGGGAGTAGTTTTATTAATAAAAAAGTATATGTGGGTTTTAATAGGTATTATGGGTTTAAATAGACCCCAAATTTTCAGCATAATCCATTTTCAGCATCAGCCCACACAATAAATAAACAATAAAATCAGGCCTATTCGTATTTATGGAATGGAACGTTTGGCATCGAAGTCTTCTAGTAGTTTGGACACCTAATTTCATTTACTATATACACTTCGGACTTCAATTTGTAATTTATCGAATTCAATTTAAAAGCCTAAAAAGTATAGAATAACTATCTAGTATTTACTCTAATGGTTTTTGTTTAAAAAAAAGAGCTATATCTAATTTTTCCGATGATTATTATCCTTTTATCTAACATCACACAGGGTGATAATACGTAACTTATATACCCTAACTCTATGTGATGCAGATAACCTGTTGGAAAATGAGCAACAATATTTAAAAAGTGCATTGTTACATTAATACTAAACTAACTACTACCTGCTAAACAGATGAGTTGCGTTCATTTTGTAAAACAATCACAAATGTTTAGTAAATGAAGCGATAAATATGGTTAAATTCAATGAGTCAGCCGTATTCTCATTTAATTTTATCACTATATAGTGAAATTACGATAATGCAAAAGAATGAATACCTTCACTATATTCCAAGATTCATTCTACGTAACTTTGCTATTGACAATTATGAGAGAGTATTCACGAATAATAGAAAGTTATTCAATCAGAAACAAAGGTTTTGGAAGTCAAAAAAGAAAAGAATTTCTCCAAACTTACGATAGAACCAATAATCAATTGGGCACTTCTTTAATTTCGAGAATTTATGGAGACACAAACATGTACGAGGATCTTAATAATAATGACACAATGCATGTGGAAAAAAATTAGCAATTCTTGAAAAGAGAGCATCAAAAGTAATCAGAGACATTATCGAGACATCTCAAATAAAAAGCCAAATTGTCTTGCTTAGAAAAAAACTTGCTGACTTACGCAAATTCCTCTTTATCATGAACTACCGAAAACCTCAAGAAATCAGTTTGCAGATAAGTATTTTGATAATTTCACTTGGTCAATGGTAGAAAGTTTTATGCAGGAGCACAATTTACAAAATTCGCAAGAAGTGTGGTTACAGAATGTCCGAGAAATAATTGATACACCCCATAACGATGTCAAAGACAATACGCGAATATTTCCAATAGATAGAATGGATTATAGGCTGCGTATGATTGATTGTTTCCTTGCAATTTGGCAAGCTGGTGATAATGATGAATTTATCATGACCAGTAATGCTTTTAGAATTTTTGAAGGTATAAATATTGACAGACCCATACAAATGGGAGGTCTAATTCATAAAGCTTTCCATTATTTTTATGTCATTTCTCCAAAGCTAGCTCTGGTCCTTTGTGATTCTGGATTTAGAGAAGGTGTTGAATTTAAACTGTAGATAAATTTTTTGGATATAAACATCGTTCGCTTTTTCAAAATGTTCCTCATCCACCACTAATTCCGGAATATGTTAGCCTCAAACATTGTAAAGTAAATCCAGATAAGGAACTTGAAATTCAAGATAATGACAAATTTACCGTTACCTTAGTTAAAGTAATTCAGCCACTTTTCACCTCGTAAACTCCATTGTGCTTAATGAGGCTAATCCAGACCTACAAGTGTCCTTCCTTTCTCTTCCATATCTTTATAAAACGATTGTTAAATACTATAAAAATCTCAAATTTACATCACAAGACTTCTCGAATATGAAAAGACATTATTCAGGGCATTAAATAAAACTCATGAGAAGGATTTGAATCTCCGAAAAAATATTTCAGGTGGCAACAGATATTGGAATTTTATGCAAATTTGATTAAATTATGAAGGGTGTTGTATTTATTTTTATTTTACTATTTTAGTTTGTTATCACACACTATAACTCTATCTCAAGTCACCGGGCAAAGGCAAGAATTTCTTCACCATTGATTACATTAAGGGAATACTATATATCTAGAGTTGAGCGAGTTGTATTATATTTACTTCTTATCTAACGACATTCTATTGTAAATTTGGATATAAAGCTGGATTGACGCATCGATTTGATACTTACAGAGTCGTGTATCTATAGTGATGGAATTGTGCTTATTACTTCCTAAATATTTAATTAAAGACAAAACGCTAAGTTAGATCTTTGCTATTGTTTTTTTTTTTTTTCTTACTTTCTTTGTTTTTTTTTTTCTTAAATTTATTGTTATACTGTTATTTAGT